CCAACAACACAAAAACCCCCACACAAAACAACCACCCCTGAGAATGTGAGCAGCCACGTACGTGTCTGGCACTCGGGAATGCCTGTATATCCGCGCTCACACTTCCAGCCGCTGCAGTGACCGTTGGTCTTGTTGCACAGCACGTTGTTCAGGCAGTGACACTGCAGGGCGCAGTCCACGCCAAACTTGCCATCCGGACAGGCTGTAGCAGGGAAACAAAAGGAACATCATAAATAGACCACGGCGAAACGATAGTAACATCATAAACAGTTTTATGTTTTAGTAGAGGTTTTACGGAGATTCAGTTTTAATAGGGGTTTTACGGTGCTCGCAACTGCATAAGGTCATATGAGCGCCAGAAGATTAGAGGTGTTACAAGAGAGTAACAAACATAAAAAAGAATAAGGGGAGATAAGGATGATAGATGTTTGATAGGAAAGAAGGAGCATAAACAGACCGCGGGGAAACAATTATAATAGTAACATCATAAACAGACCGCGGGGAAACAATAGTAATATCATTAACAGATAATCCACGCACTGTGAAGCTTCGTGTGTTTTAGCTTTTATATTTTTGCTACTTTCTTAGCACATAAATGAATAAATAAATACATGACTGAATGAATGAATGAATACATGAGTGAATGAATTGATGGATGGATGGATGGATGGATGGAAAAATGAATAAAAGAATTGAATAAATAAATAAATAAACAAATTAATTAATAAATTAATAAATAAATAAGAGTCCACTTTATTCATTATAGTTAAGAAATGTATTTTACAACGACGTGCATAAACATGATACAAATAATACTAAACATCATAAACAGACCATCCACGAACTGTGAAGCTCCCTGTGTTTTAGCTAGAACTATTGCGTCGGGGTTGAGCGCTGTATCAGCATCATTGTCTTTCTCACCTTGCACCAGGGTATAGGCCACGGACAAACACCTCCCACCTTTCTAGCTCTATCCTGGGCTAGAGAGTTGTATAAATGCCATAATACGGTCGCTTTGAAGGACAAGCGGGCTAACCCAGATTTCAGGGGTTTCCAGAATTCCTGTCTTACACCAAAAGTGGGCTTTGCCCTACCTAAAGGAGAAGTTTGGTTTCATTGGTGTGTATGTTTGTTTGGTCATAGAGAAAACTCTCCTTGTTTTTAAAAAAAACTGAACAAGGGGCACAAAACTTTACCTTCGATATTCTCAAAAACAGCATTTTTTGGGATAGTCCCCTTGTGCTTAAAAGCGGCCATAAATGGCATTTATACAGAGCTCAACCCCGAAGCAATGACCCTAGCTAAAATACAGGAAGCTTCACAGTGAGTGGGTTGTCTGTTTATGGTAGTTTGTATTTTTTGTATCATGTTTATGCATTTATGCACGTCGTTGTAAAATAAATTTCTTAACTATAACGAAGAAAGTGGACTCTTATCAATTAATTAATTAATGTGTTTATTTATTTATTAATCCAATTCATTTATTCAGTTGTCCATCCATCCATCCATCCATCAATCCATTCACTCACTCATTAATTCATTTATCCATTCATTCATTCATTTATTTATTCATTTATGTGCTAAGAAAGAAGCAAAAATATAGGTTTTGTACCCCTTCCGACCCCGTGAGGCATTACAAATTTAACAGGCGCGACCTCTGGACTCTGAACCCAACAGCCACCTCCTATAAAATGCCTCTATACAATTACTGTATTTTTGTTTTGATTTAGTAGAGGTTTTACGGAGCTCGCAACCGTATAAGGTCATATGAGCACCAGAAGATTAGAGGTATTACAAGAGAGTAACAAATATAAAAAAGAAGGATGGGAGATAAGGACGATAGATGTTTGATAGGAAAGAAGTAGTAAACAACACCAGAGCACCCGTCAACCACCCACTTACTGTATTTTACCATGACAGTAATGACACAGCCGCGATAGAATGCCTCTATACAACTACTGTATTTGACAGAGCCGCTATAGAAAGTCTATACAATTACTGTATTATTTTATACCTTGACAGAGCCGCTATAGAAAGTCTATAAAATTACTGTATTATTTTGTACCTTGACAGAGCCGCTATAGAATGCCTCTATACAACTATTGTAGCTTATATTTTATACCTTGACAGAGTCGCTTGACAAAGCCCAGCCTGCCTATCTGTGGCTCAAACTATCAATACGTTCATACAGACCTATGCCGTCGACCTGACACTACAGTGGATACCTGGCCACAGCAACATCCCAGGAAACGACAGAGCAGACACCCTTGCCAAGAAGGGAGCATCACAAACACAACCTCACAACCCAGTATCACAACAGACAGCCAAGAACATCATCAAATGCAACACCAGGGAACAGTGGCTGAATGGATCGGCAATGGGCAAAACTGGAAGAACTGTATTTGCACACATGACAGCCCCCAACTCTAAAGATGCAATAAGTTCTCTGAGTAGAAGAGAACAAATCACAATATTTCGCCTGCGAACACAACACATACTACTAAATTTCTACCTTAATAGGATCCGCAAGGATACCCCACCCGACTGCCCGTTGTGCGACTGCCAGGATGAAACAGTACCATACTACCTCTTTAACTGCCCAGCACTTTGTGACCTGCGTAGCACCTACCTACCTGCCTCCCCAGACATAGGAAATACTCTATACAGCGACAAAGCACAGCTGATTAAAACCTGTAAATTCTTTGCCATATCGACAGGCCGAAGGGCTAGAACCCAAATGGCCGCTGGATCGGAAAAGTAAAGTGAAGTGACAGAGTCTCTATAGAATGCCTCTATACTCTATACAATTACTGTATTTGTACCAAGACAGAGCCGCTATAAAATGCCTCCATACAACTACTGTATTTGAACCTTGACAGACAGGGATGCCAAATGATTTTTGAAAATAACCCTGATAATAAGCGGACCATCACATATCACCTAAAACAAACCTTGTAAAGTTTTTAAATGACAGAGCCGCTACAGGATGTTTCTATACAACTATTGTATAATTTGTACCTTGACAGAGCCGCTCCGAGCCCGGGGGTATGTAGTAGCCGATCTTACAGGCCAGGCAGGAGAGTTCCGTGGGTCCCTCACATCCCTCACAGGCGGAGTTGCACGCTGGGGAGGGAGGGAAGGGGGGGAATGGGAGGGAAACAGTCAGACACCCAAGGTCATGCATGTCTACCTCTCTTCGCTGTATCTATCCAGAGACGTCCCCGACGGAGATAGACCAGTCAAAATGCTTGGTGCCTCTAGACCAAGTAAAAAAAATTTGGGGGGTTAAAATCAACCCATAATTTTATATTTTGCAGTTAAGTTTGAAATTTTCTTGAAAATAATTGATTTGTGACAGTTTTAGTGGCTATATATGCGTGATCTGCAGCAAATAAAATGCCGTCTGACCCCCCAAAAAACAGAGTATCTGTGTGCTGTAGTGCGTCTCCGATTAGTTCCTGAAAGCTCGCGGGAGGCGTCTCCGAATATCTTCTTCCCTCCCTATCCCGACAATGTTGATTATTTAGCTTCTTAATATTTTTAGCTTTAGTATTAGTAAGAAGAGGTTTCAGAGTTCTTGCAGCACAAATAGATCATATAGGTGCCAAAGATTATGGCTAGAGGTGTACCTAGAGAGTAACATGTACAAAAAGAAGGACAAGAGATAAGGATGACAGGTGCTTGATAGGAAAGAAGAAACATACCACACAAGAGTTCTTGCCAAAAAAAGAAGAAGAGGAAGAAGAAGAAGAAGAAGTAGGAGGAAGAGGAGGGGAGGAGGAGGATGAGGA